GTTTTCGGGCGTATTCGTCGGACATTTTCGAGCGAAATGTCCCATTTTATGACATTTGTAACACTTGATATCTTTTATATCCTTTTTCTCGCCATTATTTTTAGCCCAATTTTTTTTATCTGCAGTGTTATCGCTCACCCGCATTTTGTTCGTCATCGTAGCAAGCGCAGTAATTTCTTCATCAGTAGCGCCGAGACGATTTTCCTCTTGAATCAATCTCTCCCTCAGATAAACGAATGTTTGGCGAGTTGGGTCAACACTATCTCAAGCAGTGTAAAAGAAACTGTACTTTTCTGACAAGCCTGTCAGAATCTTGGCCATGAATGTCATATCGGAGACATTTTCTCCGACGTCTAGCAGTTGCCTTCTCAAATTTTGCACTTTTGTAATATGCTGCACTACGGTACCGGTGGGGCTCATTTGATAGGCATGAAAACGCTGTAAAAGCAGTAACTTGTTCGATGCCGATCTCTGTTCAAACATGAGAACCAACGCATCCCACATTTCTTTCGCCGTCTCGTAAACTAGTAGACTTTCCAACTGTGAATATTCCATCTTGCTCAAGATGAGGAACATCGCTTTTGCGTTATCTTTCATCCACATCTTGCCCGCGTCTGACGTCATATCGTTTGGCTTCAGTCTCGCACCGGACACAACGTCGTCGATCTCGTGACTAGCAAACAGGGCATTCATTTGAAATTTCCAGCCAAGAAAATTCTGTCCATCAAATTTCGTCACATGCCTTGTTGAAATTTCGTTTGCCATTTTATCAAGCCTCAGTGTATAAAATACTTAGTAAGAAACTTTTCGTCACTGGTCTTATCGTCGCGTTTTCGAAAACTATTTTTACTTTCGTGGCTACGTTCCTGGGCCCATAACCTGTTAAAACTAGTTACGAAAACGAAGATAAGTGTTTTTTACTAGTTTTATTATAACTCAAGGAGTACAAAACTTAATGAGAGACGGAAAAATATTTTATAAAACGCACGCACGTCTTTTTGGTTAAGTGGTCGAGAAAAATTTGTACGTCTGACAGAACGTTGTTAAGTTGCAGTAAAACAAAAAAAAGCTTCGGAAGCATACGAACAAACGAAAAACTATCGTTCGAATTAAACTAATTTAACATTATCTAATAACATTCATGAGACAAGATGAATCTCGAATTATTCTTGAACTCGATTGTGAGTTCGAAATTGTTCTACCGGACCAAATGTCAAGAGCGATAATTCATCATTTGGATCTTTTTATTTATCTTTCTGATAGAGTACAAAAATATGCATTATCTATTCAATATCATGGATGTGATCGATTTCAATTTAATATTAAGTAAATGTATTTGTATATCTTATTATATCTCAATAAAGATTGTATTATATAAATTTATTTTCTGGAGAGGTAAATGAGTCATTAGTGTTTCTATTAAAGCAGGTTTCGACTTGTCTTAATGGACTCACTAGTGTCGAATATAAAAAATGGAAGTACCTCACAGGTAAGACCGAAGGTTGGGGCTCTTATCCTTAAAATAAAAAAACAATGTAATATTTATAAATGAAAACAATTATTTATTTAAATATAAGCTAGATACATATAAATTTATATTTGTAATTCATTGTTGTATAGTCTCCTCATTTATCCAAGAATTGTGAGTATTATCAAAGCTAAGCCATTTTACAAAGACTTCATTACCCCGTCTTCTGAGAATTTTTTCTACAAGATAAATATCAGGATACATAGCTTGCTGTAGTTCTTGCTCATAAAAACTACCAACAATGGGATTTTCTTGATAATCTAGTAGGTGATATGTTACAGGTTTAGTTCTTGAAATACGATGAATAGTAAAAATTTCTGTAGACCAATTAGGCGTATATCCTTTTTCAAAAACGTGTTTAGACTTGCTTACTCGCACTTTATCTCCTACTTGGAATTTCGGTTTTTTGAAAAGACCTCAAGATCGTAAGAGAATCGTGTCAAGACCTGCATTTCATTTTCTTTAGTCACGTCTTTAGGCTTCATATTTATTGTACGATGTTTTCGATTATTATAAGATTCTATTAAACTGGGGAGAAAGTCAATCCACTTATAATTTCCTATTACACTGAATTTTTTCCACATAATATTTTTTAGTGTTCGATTGAAACGTTCACAAATTGATGCTTTAAGATTGCTATAAGTAGAATAAAGGTTTATTTTATATTTTTTTCATTAAACTTTGAAAATTTGTATTGTAGAACTCTTTGCCTCTATCCACTTAGAGATTTTTAGGAATGCGTCCCTTTTTTAATACAGACTCCATTGCGTTAGTGACATCTGTAGCAGTTTTCTGTTTTACTGGAACTCCCCAAGCATATTTAGAGAACGTATCTATAATAGTTAATAGATAGCGAAAACTTTTATTCTCTCTAGAATAGCTTTGCATCTCAACAAGATCAGCTTGCCACGTCTCATCTATTCCGCGTATATCTACTTTTCGACGAGGATAGTTTCAACGTGCTAGTTTATGTAACTCATCCACCACTCTTTGATGTTTCATTATTTCAATCTATTTGTTATAATTGAATGAATGAAAAGTCAGACGGCTTAATCCTTATTTCTTTCTCCTTATTATTATCATTATTATTTGTTTGTAAATATTGAATCGCTTCTCCATACGATCGTAATTGTATTCTTATTATATTTAAAGATTTTTTAAGATTATTTATTGTAGTCGTAAGCGTATTGACGTTAGCTTCACTAGTTTTTTGCAACGTTCGTAAGTTTACAGCATCGTTACTCTCCTGAGGATCGGCTATATAACAAATTCTTTTGTCATTCGCGTCGTATTGTCCGTCTTTAGTGATATTATACCCTATACCAGGAGGACCTCGATTACCCTTCTTTTTTTTCAATATACGTCCAAACACATCAACACTCATTTTATTACTGAGGAATATTTAGGATTCTCTTAATATATATAGACAGCTTCGCGTAATTCTTCAATAATTGAATGAATTTCATTAATATGACTAGGATTACCAGCGGTTTGTTCGGCGATAAGCAATCTCAATCGATCAACGAGCTCGTTTGGATCATCCCAATATACATAATCAAATAATGTTCCTTTTCTTGCTATTTTATAGTTAGGAAAAAGACCTCTTCCATCAATAGTCAATTTTCGATTCTTAGCACTACCACTTAAAGATAAATTTGGACCAATATATTTTTTGAATTTATTTACACGCTTATTGCGATATTCTCCATTTGTTTCATATCTCTTACGATGAGCGTTAGTGATTTCAAGAATTTTTATATAATTTTGTTTTTTATATAAATAATGTCCGATAAACTGATTAATTTAGAATTAGGTTCTTTACGAAAGAGAAGTTCCATGAATTCAGGCGTCTTGCTGAATGCTTTATCATTCACAGTCACATTATCGTTTTGGAAAGAAATTGGAGAATTGCCTATGACATATGTATTTTCATGCAAGCGAACGCCAAATGTCTTGTCTAAATTACTTTTCTGTTGCGGTTCATGCAATAGTCGAATATAGTTTCCTACAATCGAGTCATCCAATAGCTGTTTTTGTTGTTTTGTAGTTACATTTGAACTAACATTGTCTAAATTTATTGCAGTTCTATCAATTGTTGATTTACTAGTCTTACTAAATTCGTCTTCATCACCATCATCTGTAGCATCAGCAATAGACATAGCGGATTCAAATGTAGAATCAAGCGGATGTAATGTAGAATTTAAGTCATTAACAGTACTATTGAAATATCGAGATTTATAGGGAGTGTCAGCTGTTGTTTTTGACTTGAAAACTTTATTGAACGTAATTTACTTCTCCTTGTTCGTTTCCTGTTCAGTATTATCGTTAGTTTTATCAATAGCTACCTCCACAAGTTTCTTCAATGGATCAACTATAGGTTTAAAAGTTTCATTCAATGTATTTTCTAAATCAGCTTTGTCACGTTTTATTAGTTGATACTTACGTCTGATGGTAGCCTCAGATAATTGCTCGAGCATCTTCTTTTCTTTTTCAAAATTAGCCATGTTGACGCTTGCAATTTCTAAAGTTAAATAATCTTCATTCGTTCACTCCGCTATATTTATAGCAAAAGAATCGAATCCTTTTCTATACCGTCCATGATTGATTGGTCTATCTCTATCAATAACTATAAATCCATGATTATCGTCTCTCCAACATTTTGAACAAATTGCTATTAACGCCCAAAACCAGAGACTTTTAGACTGATTTTCGAGCCATACTTCCCAATCGGAAAATGAGATATACATCGACCAAACCTACATTACTTTATGTTTTCGGGTCCGCTCTTTCGATTTCTGACGTCAAAATTACGTTTTTTTGCATTCTAAATCCAATATGGTGGACTTTATTAGAAAAAGTTAGGCTATTTTCAAAATTTTTTTTTTTAACTTTTTTTTTTTCAATTACATAAAAAACTTCGATCTATTTCAAACTATGGACAAAAGTGGACAAAATAGCTATAGTTTATGGAAAAAATTTTTTTGGTCAATTCCAAATTGTTTATCATGACGAAAATGGCGGCTAATTGCCAAAATTTTACAAAATCAGTGGATTTTCGCATTATTTCATGTATGAACTTAAAATGGATGACTTTTTTATACTCAAACTGTCTCAGTTCTATTGCCTGACCTTTATAAGTAATTTCCAACAAAATATACGTTATGCCTAATGGCGGATTCAATATGGCGGACGACATAATGAAAATTTTAATATAAATGTATAAAAAAAATTGCATCATATTCTAGGTTTTATTTCGATTAAAAATGTCTCTAACGTTTTTTTGATTAGAAGCAAACATTCTCAGGAAAAAATTCTTGAAATTTCGGAATCACGAACTTTTTAAATTTTCTATTTTTTTGTATTTTATATTTTATATTTTTTTTTATTTTTTATTTTTATGTTTTGTTTTTGTATTTTTATTTATATTATTATTTACATTTTTCATTTTTCATTTGCATAATTCTTTTTATCCTTACTTGTAATTTCTGAATTCTATAATCCGTACCTTATTTTTCATGGTTATCATCAAAGCATGTTTTACAGAAATATAGAGAACATGTGTTGCAAAATTTTGCGGTTCTGATCGGGCATTTTGCAGTGGAATAGTTTTTTTTAGTTCTTTATACGAAACTTCGTGCTTCTTTGATCTATGTTTCTTACCATTTTCAAGATATTGTCTGACAATACTCATTGTAAAATCTTTAGATCCTACCTTTTTATCTTCTGATTTACAAGTGTTATACAGCACAAGTTCATTGACTATTGGAGATTGAATAAGCCTTATCAAAACTACCCATGTCCATTTTTTTGAACGTATGCATAGTAGAACATTGTTGCAATGATTATCGTGTAAATCAACACCACCCATAAATTTATTGTAAGTATGAAAGGCACATGGAAAATGTACATCAACTCTTGCTTTCTTCTCTGCGCTATATCTTTGTGATGGTAATTTTGGGCTAACACCTGCAATCGATGATGCTATTGACACTTGTTTCGAGTCCTTAATACTTATATAGTTTATTCCACTGTTCTGATCGTGTTTTGCAATACATGTACCTCTTAAAGCTTTTTTATCAATCACATTTCTGGCTTCTTTAGGTACGCGATTGTCTCTTATTGTTCCCGTGCATCTTAGTCCTTGCTTTTGCAAATGTAAAATAAGATCAAAATTCGTAAAAAAATTGTCAAAATAAAGATGGAATCGAGAAATTTCTGTAAGAGATAATTTCTTGAAAAATGGTACCAGTAAATTCATCACAACTCGAGAACCAAGAGAATATTTATTCAGAAGATTTTCATTTGAATCTTTACCGCAGTATAAATCAAAATCTAATAAAAATCCGTCAGATCTGCAGCATCCCCAAAACTTCAAACCACGCCGTATAGGTTTTCCTCGAATGAACTGTAACAAGGATGTTCTGGCGTATGATTTAGCCATCATTTCATCTATGGATAAGGCTGTTTGAAAATAACCAAATCTTTGAATATTTTTTCTAAACTTATTCATCAAAACTCTTACTCTCCATGCCTTATCGTTGGGATTTTTATCTGCAGGCTTAGAGCATTTCAAATGAGATTTGATTTGTTCAAATGTATTGCGTGTGATGGCTTGTTGAACTATATCGCAAGACAATAGAGGATCAGATGACCAATAATCTCTTTGAGATTTCCTTTCATTGAATGACGATAGAATAATTACACCTAAAAAAGTATTCAAATCTATTTTTGAAAGATCATAGCCATTTTCACGAGTCGCTTCGATGATGTAATTTTTCATATCATCTGTGAAGAACATTTCAAATAACTCAACATAGCTAGATATACAAATTTTTGCTTTTTCTGTATTACTCAGCAATAATTCATTTTGTATATCATTGTTGTAAATTTTTTCCCCGTCCACCCACTGATATACGTGTTCATTCTCCAATTTTGTTTGATCATCTCTATAGCATTTAGAAATTTTTCTATATGTGTATTGAGAAAGAAAATCTTCAATATTTCCATCAAGATTGCTGCTATGAAAATCCTCATTATCAGATTCCTCATCTGAGTCTCCGGAATCGTCTGGGTTTGGAAGGTTAATGAGTTCAGCATAATCATCATCAGAATCATTAGATTCGTATAGTTCATGTTGGTCAGCAAACGATTTTTTTCGTTTAGGCATTTTGTAACTTTTTATATAGGCATGAGATAGCGGAAAAAGAATTTACTCTAAGTTGTACACCAAAATGTAATAACTGAGATGTTAGCAGAGTATCAATTCAGAAAATCAGGCTAATGGTGGTATTATTGCTTGCTATAACAGTGTAATGAAAACTATAAAAATTATAAGCACGTCATATGATTTTACATAGGCAGGTCTACAAAAGTAACGAAAACTACTCATGACCGTATCTAATGATTCCGAAATTTCAATAATTTTTTCCTGAGAATGTTTGCATCTAATCAAAAAACGCTAGAGACATTTTTGAATCGAAATAAAACCTAGAATATGATGCAATTTTTTTTATACATTTATATTAAAATTTTTATTATGTCGTCCGCCATATTGGATCCGCCATTTTGAATTTCTAAAATCTGTTAAAGTATTCTCTTTTACGATATAGCGAATCATAGAGAAACCTATGTAAACTTAGGATTTAGAACTTTTATGAGTGGAAATGTGGAAACAACAGGTTAATTTTCCAGTTTTCCGGTCGCCATATTGAATCCGCCATTAGGCATAACGTATATTTTGTTGGAAATTACTTATAAAGGTCAGGCAATAGAACTGAGACAGTTTGAGTATAAAAAAGTCATCCATTTTAAGTTCATACATGAAATAATGCGAAAATCCACTGATTTTGTAAAATTTTGGCAATTAGCCGCCATTTTCGTCATGATAAACAATTTGGAATTGACCAAAAAAATTTTTTCCATAAACTATAGCTATTTTGTCCACCTTTGTCCATAGTTTGAAATAGATCGAAGTTTTTTATGTAATTGAAAAAAAAAAAGTTAAAAAAAAAAATTTTGAAAATAGCCTAACTTTTTCTAATAAAGTCCGCCATATTGGATTTAGAATGCAAAAAAACGTAATTTTGACGTCAGAAATCGAAAGAGCGGACCCGAAAACATAAAGTAATGTAGGTTTGGTCGATGTATATCTCATTTTCCGATTGGGAAGTATGGCTCGAAAATCAGTCTAAAAGTCTCTGGTTTTGGGCGTTAATGGGTTAAACTTCTCAAAAGTCATATCTGAGTTAACATGATCGTTGCAAATATGTTTAATATTCACGTCATCTTGTCGAAACAAAACTAGTAAATTCACATTATCTCGAATGAGATGCTTCGGTATGCGAGCGTATGATTGACAGAGATAGAAACTATCTATTTTTTTATATCTTCCCATACAGAAGAATGCTCTCACGTTGTCCTGCTTTTCAGTAGTTATATCGTCAACAATCATGATGGAATTTGGATTAGCTAACTTTCGAGGAGAAGTCATCACAGTGCGAGTACATATAAAGACCATATCTTAGTAATGGGTATCATTTACAATATAAAGAGCGGCCGAGGCTATATTAAAAGACAAAAATGTCGAACAGCAACCAGTCAACAGCGAGCTATCAGACCGCTCACACCTCAGAACATTCAATTCCTGAAAAGCTTGAGACTAGAAGTCGTCGAAAATCGTGGAAGAAAATATTGTGCATATTAGTGTGTTATATAAAACAACAACAACAACAACAATATGGAGGGAATTCTAGACATTCATTCAGCTGTCGCTTTCGATGAGTCTAGCTCATTATGAAGTTCATGCGCATCAGCCTTATTCATTATCATATTTCAATAATAGTGATGAAATTCATATAGCAATTCAACATCAAGATTTATCTCTGCTTCCATCGCGCAGTATGATTCATATTTGTGGTAGGTTGACCAAGCCGGACGGTATTACGCCAGTGGAGAACACTTTATTAGTCAACAACGCCCTCTGTCATTTGTTCGAGGAAATACGATATGAAATAAATGCTATTGAAATTGATAAAGTGAAAAATGTAGGCTTAACAACTCTCATGAAAAATTGGCTTTCACTCAATCCATGTCAAAACTCTATCGCTGAAAATGCCGGATGGAATGGTGATAACAATGAAGTTTTAATATGTAACGCTCAAGGTTTTTTTGATGTTACTATACCTCTTAGTATGTTGATGGGCTTTGCTGAAGATTATCGGAAAATTGTAGTCAATGTCAAGCATGAACTTATTCTCACAAGATCAAGAGATGATTTGAATGCTATTTTGTGTACTCCAATAGGGAATCCTGCTGCTTCAGAAAAAACAAAAATTACTTTAACTAAGGTTGAATGGTTGATGCCATATGTGATGGTTGCAGACAAAGAAAAAATCAAATTACTCAATTAGATCGGACGAGATCGTGCAATTACAATGAGTTATCGTACTTGGGAAATGTATGAGTATCCAAAATTACCACGTGCATCAAAGCATGTTTGGAGTGTTAAGACTTCCAGTCAATTGGAAAAGCCTCGCTTTGCTATTTTAGCTTTTCAAACTAAACGTAAAAGTTCGGCGAGTGTTAATTCTAGTAATTTTGATCATTGTAATATTAGTAATGTGAAGCTATTCCTCAATTCACAATGCTATCCGTATGGAAATCTCAATTTGAATATCAATCAAAATCAGTATGCTGTTCTCTACGATATGTATATTAATTTTCAAAACGCTTATTATGGTAAAGAAAACGAGCCGTTACTCAATAAAAAAGATTTCATTAATAAAATGCCGCTAATAGTTATAGACTGCTCCAAACAAAATGAAACATTAAAAAGTGCGCCAGTCGATGTTCGCCTAGAATTTGAAACTCGGACTGATTTTCCTGAAGATACTGCAGCCTACTGCTTAATATTACACGATCGTATTGTACAATATAACCCAATTAGTGGTGATATTAAAAAATTAGTTTGAAATTAACAAGGCATTATGTAATCAATGTATACAATGCTTTTCAATAAAAAAGAAAATAAATTATATATATTGTTGGAATTTAATAAAAACTACCTATAACCATACTATATAGTAACTATAACGCCCTATACTTTCGATTGGTGAGGTATGATGACTATGGCGCCCTCTACTTTCGAATAGTGAGGTATAGGCTTTATATAGAATGTAACGGTCCTATTTATGAGCTATTTATTAAATCACTGAATTACTGCAACTAGTCTAACGTATCTATCTGTTTGTAACTTAATTGTACACTTGGGCAAATATGGATTGCGATCGACAGGAACTGTACGCAAGGATAGAGTGAAAGTAAAGCATACTTTTGAAAAAAAAGCTCCGCGAGGAACATTCAAAGTGGATCATGACACAAACAGTGGTATGAACTTTATTACTGTAATTGACTCCAAAGAAGTATCTGTTTTATCTACAGCAGTTGGTGTTACACCTATAAAACCAATAAAAAGGTATTCACGAACTGCTAAAGATAGAATAGAAATAGGATTTCCTTTTGCCTTCTCACTGTACAACAAATTTATAGGAGGCGTAGACTTGCACGATTTTCTATGTAAAAAAGCTTGCCCAAGTATTAGCTCAAAAAAATGGACATTCAAAATTTTCTCGCGTATCCTTCAAGCTTCAGTTACAAATGTTTTAACACTTTGGAACATTTGCAATACCGACAAAACTAAACATGTTACAACAAAATATTTATGTAAAGAAATCAGTAGAGTGTATTTATCCAATTCTAAATTAGGCGATTTCCAATCTTATCAGTATGAAACTAGAACTAGAGCAGTATGTAACTACAAGGAGTGTCGTCAACGAACTAGCAGATTTTGCATTGATTGCGACAAGTACTATTGCTTGCACTGTTTTCCTCTTTTGCATCAAGCGAAATAATTTTTTTCTCTAAAGTAATCATAAATAATTAAAAAAAAAAAAAAACAAAAATACAAAAAAAATATAAAAATAACTAAAATGTAAAAAAAAAAGAGACTATCTATATTCGTCGACCTCCACGATGGTGATAGTTGGGCAACGTAAAAAAATGCATTTTACGGCGAACAGGCGAAATATGCACTTTGATACCATATTGATACTAATGGGAAAATTTTCACAAGAAATGCACATACAAAAAAATTTATAAGAATAAAATATTCTTAGAATAAACTGTAGAATACGTGGGAATTATTTTGGATTTTTTGAGCAACTTTTGAATTTTGCATAAATTTACAGTTTGCAAAAATAAAAAAATTTTCTTAAAATCTTTTGAAAAAATTTAGGTGCATTCTTTGAGTAATTCTAAGAACATTTTCTTCTTTGGCAATTTTTCCATAACCCCATAGTTGTTGAGTTAAAAATTCATAAACATATTTACAAAAATTTTGCAATCGAGGCGCCATTTTGAAACTCCCCAGGTGAAAAATCGATCCGAAAACGATGAGACCTTAATATTCAGACATTTGTTCCACCAGTTACAGAGGTTCCGGGTCGATTCCACTGGAGAAACCTTTTGAAAACTCGATTTAAAAAAAAAAGGAGTGAAAAAATCATGATTTTTTTTTAAAACTACATTTTGCAATAGTAAAAAATTTTTTGGAAAATTGAGATGAGCACCATCGGAAAGAGCAGATCTTAAACTTTCAGAATATAGCTCTTTCAATTTTTTTTGGCAATTTTAACGTCAGTTATAAGCTCTCAAATACCAGGGTAACGTGAGTGGCGTTTTCGGCGGAAACGGGTTAAAGATGCTTCTGAATACATGGCCGCTGTGTTGAAAAATCGAGGAATGCTTGAACGGGAAACGAAGTCATCAGTCTACAGAAATAGAGAAAAAGAATTCCGACAATATTTCAAGAAAGACGAAGAAGGCACTCTGGTATATTACACAGATGTTTTAGGTTTGATGAACGAAATAAAAGAAGGTATTTATGTTCCTGAAGAATGGAGATTGTTTATACATTCCTCAAAACGGAGTCTGAAGGCAGTGCTTCTCAATAATGGAAATGGGTACGCAAGTCTACCTTTAGCGCACTCAACGCAATTGAAAGAAAGTTACGAAAATGTGGAATACGTATTGGATAAAATACGATATAAAGAACATAATTGGCAGATTTGTGGCGATCTAAAAATAATAACGATTCTTCTTGGTCAACAG